AGTGAGGGGGAGTGAGAGTGAGGGGGAGAGAGTGAGGGGGAGAGAGTGAGGGGGAGAGAGTGAGGGGGAGAGAGTGAGTGAGGGAGAAGGGTGTTCACTATCCCTACATAAGATTTACACCGATTCTTCTAAGTCTAGGCAATAATAATACAATGTATACATCAAAAAAACCTAAATGTTGATTGAACTTTATACAAAGAATGTGTGCATCATGTATGATCTATTTAACAGTAAACACGTTACACAAAACTAAGCAAAACCTAAATGCAACACACAAATTAAAACATAAAATTCCAAAAAACAATCTCCCGAACTTACCATATTTATCCTAATATAAGACTACAACCTAATTTTCGAAGAGGCCTCCCAAGAATGTTAAACATTTTTAACTAATTCTTACCATTTACTCAAAATTAAATTGCAAATCGATTTGTGGATGAATATATTTTGACTTATTGCCTCAGCAATTAATTTTTTTTTGAGGGGTGATTTATTTGGGGAAAAAAACCTTGTCATATTCAGGTAAATAGGCATTCCAGGTTTTGTAATCCCTACCAGAGATCTAAAAAATTGAACTTGTTATAATCACATACAGGCATTATTTCCTAATTAAGTTTTAACACAGATTACACTTTTGCATTCAGATTTGCACCATCACCCACAATTTTTCTAAATAGTGAATTTATTTATTTCACTAAAAACAGATTCATTCCATTTCCTTATAAAAAGTTTTACCAAAAACAGTTGAGTTTTCATGAAACTTTATATGATATTATTTAAAGCACATGTACTCATAAATATGTGAACATATTGCCACTAGTATAACATGGGAGAAGTCAAAAAATTACATTATTGTAATTTAAGAAGGAACAACAGAATAGAGCAGTAAGGTGGTTATGTCATCTTATAGAGTACATTTGGTACTATCCCTACCAAAACGATAAAGAAAAAATTTGGAGCCATTTTTGAGAAAATCTTGTTTTTTTAACTTTGGAAAATTGCGCATTTATCATGCAATATTGCACGAAGGCTAAAATCTTCAAAAAAGAGATGTACATGTCCTTAATAAAATAACTCACTGTGGAGAACAAATTGTATTTGAAGGAAAAATCTATATCTTTAATTTTTATAAAAACATGTATTTCCATTGAAATCTTGAAATCAATTTTTCACAGTATATCATAATTTAACCTATACTACGTATATCACTCTGTATATATATATGCATGTATACGGCAAAGTAGTAGTAGTAGTAGTAGTAAAAATAATAATAATAATTTGCCAATAATGCTGATGCACATAGAATGTCGTAAAAGGGAGGAGGAAAAGGTCTCAGACAAATTGGTACCATGTGGCACAATGCAATAGTTGGGATGGGAAAGTATATTATCTAGTCAGTAATCAAGATCACCCACTAATAACAGAGGTCATTAAATCTCACCAAAGAAGGGAAATAGAGGCATTGTAAATGCAGTTAGAAGCATTGTGAAGAAGACTATGCAAGACATGCAGAATAACACAAGACACTGAACTTCAGATGCCAGTCAACATTAAATGTGAGACAAAAAATGTTAAACAAATCTTGGAGAGACAAACCACTCTATGTATAATAGCTAATAAGAATAGATTAAGTGCATAATAATTTATGTGGCTTAAAGGGGAAGAAAAAAGACAGAATTGAAAAGCCAGTGTAATGGCTGCCTATGATCAGGCACTGAAAACATGACTTTATGATAAAGCAGTTCTCCCTTTTCAAGATGATAAACACTGCATTTACCGCCAGGAACAAGTAGAAACCATTTATCACATCCCAGCAAGTCAAATTCTAGGAAAAATCGAAGACTTGAAAAGACACAATGGGGGGGTGTAACTGGCAGATCAGTAATGCCTGTAGAGTTCCAAACACATGCTCCAAGTAGTACGAACACTCACCAAAACCAGTGACGTTTGTTGGACAGTGTGCATTACTGTATGATCGACAAATTTCAAACTGATGGCATGATAGACACAGAGAAACTGGAAATTGATATTGAGGATTTGGAGGGAAAAAACAGTCTATTGTAGACAATCAAAATGTTGCAACCAAGGAAACAGAGAAACATCCTAAGGGGGAGGGTACCATGAAGTGTCAAATTATCTATTTCTTTTGTGAAATAATTCCAACTTTGCTCTTTCTGGATATATTAACACTTCTTTTGGGACATCTGGAAGTCCCTTCAATTCTTGTTTAAATATCCTGGAGCCATGTCTCCTTTTTTAACACTGCATACAAATATGGCTACTTTTTTGAAATTTTGCATGCATGTTGGATTGTTAATGAGTTACTGAGGTGCTCTTGTTTATATGTTGTTAGCATTGGTCTTTCTACTGAAGAAGATGATCCAGAACATTGCACCGGAATGCTCTGGTAGAGCAGTCATCTGTACAGACTTCAAATGATTGATGAAAATGTATTATAGTTAATGCACCATTTCTCAGAAACTATCCGCAATTTATTAAAATTTACAAGTTACATTCTTTATAGTATTGGCAATAAACTGGCATTTTTATATAAACATTCAAAAATAAAAATACAAAAAAATAATGTTTGTTCAAAACTGTTGAAAACAATTAGGGCAAGTTATCATTGAAAAAACTAATTAATTTTTTAATCAACACAAAAAAATGTCTAAATAATAACAAAGGCTGTACCCTTAAGTGTGAAAATTTTAAAAATTTATTTTTAACTATTTTCTAGAAAAGGTTGGTGCCCTCTTTCCTTAAATACAAGTGTTTGGAAATTGAGATCAGCAAATGTAGGGGCGTAAAAGCACAGGTCATACCAACAGTC